CCCACTGCGCCGCCGGCCTCGACCGCTGACCAGCCAGCAATAGCGGCGGCGGCGAGTGACCAGGCCGTCGCGATCACGCCGAGCTCGTTCTACGAGGCCCCTACCACTGCCGCCTTCGTCGAGCTCGTCAAGAAACGGCCGGAGATGGCGCCCCAAGGGTTCCAGAAGGGCCAGACCGACACCATCGCATCGCGCGCACGTTGGTGGCGTTATTTGCAGCGCGCCGGAGGGAAGCTCGAGGACACGGACGCGTTCATTAATGCGACCTTGCACGTCATTGCGTCAGGACAGTACAAGGCCGCCATCGATGAGGGCAAGGTCGAGAAGGCCCCGACTAGATCGTCGCCCGACTTCGAGGGCAACCCCACCGACGAGGAGCAGATCATCAAATACCTCGCTGGCTGTGGCATATGGACCCAAGGGAGACACTACGAGGCTGCCATTGAGCTCGCGGAGTTGCGTGGAGTCAAGGGTGCACCGACACCGGACCCTTTCGCCGACTAAGTGGGGAGTATGGACGCTGCGTGCCCCCCCCCCCTCTCTCGTCACCGTCGCTGTCTTTGCCGCCGTCTCGCGTCTGTGCTATTATTTGGACTATAACAATCTTATATCGCATTATCGAATCGTTAATACCCTGCGGCATCACTATGTAATATGACCACTCCTCCCGCCGCATACCCAAATTGCATTGTATGATGATCCTCGTCATGGACGCTACCCCAAATCGCGATGTAGATGACCATTGAGTCTCGGACCCTATTATAATATATTTCCATACAACAATAATACCATTATATCGCTCCCCATTGTCATCAGAGACAATGTCTCGCTCTAAGTGGGGAGGGTGTAAGGTGGGCGCCACCGAGTGGCGCCGAGTTTGGACGTGTTTGGTTACTGAGTGATAGATGGACGGATTGGGCAGGCGGATCGTTAGACAACAACTACCTCTGAATCTGCTTAGCTCAATTACCTATCTTGTATCTCTCGCAATAAGACGAGGTTCCGTTTATTGGTGTGTGTGTGATACAAGCTAACTGTACTGACTACGGAGATTCTACAACTACGCACATTATATAGTACTGTGTAGAGTCAATACTCGAAGAGCGAATGCAAGGGTATACTTGAATATGTTCACGAGTTACTGTGCTTTACCTTGCAATTGCTGTATAAACCCAGCAGCATAGAATGAGCAGGAGCAGTTCACCGAGTCGCAGGATCTGGCTATCAAACCTATTTGTATTTGGTTGTGGTCCTTGCCGTTACATGCATGTACCTAACTCTCTAAACCTGCAAGTACATACTCGCAGGGGTTCACTATTGATCTCGGAATCGAAATTCGACGCTTTCGACCCATTTTGCGATACTTCAGTTGAGTGTGGCCCACAGAAGCTTGGTATAGTAATATTAAAATCATACCGACTCACATAATGTCAAATTTGGAAGCAGAATAGTGTAAATGGACCCCCCAGTCCAGGTTTATTCCATCCCTATGTTTTGATCAAGAAATCTGTCGGAGTGTCAGACCGTCAAAACTTCCTGTGTTTGCTGAGGGACGAGCAATCACCCTTGAACCAGCGATCAACTCGGAGAAGGAGACAGTCAGGCTATAGACGCGAGTACGGCCAGAGAGGGAAAATGTAGGGTTACAAGTGAGTCGTAAGCTTTAGTTGTGGCTGCTGACTGGCATCTGCGAGGCGTGAGTTCGCCGGTATTTGAGAAAGCCGGACGTACCGTACGTACACTAGATGTCGATCTTTCGCTCTCCTTGATTTACAGGCTCCCACGAAGGATGCACTACGGCCAACTGCGAAGCCAAAGGTGCCAATTGTCTAGTTGTACATCTGGGGCGCATAGACATCAAGGGTGCTTGCCACAAAGAATCCAGTGCTAAGTGCACTGCGAGGATTGTGCGAGGAGTCGGCATATGACAATACACAATTCCTTCAGCCATTATCAGTGATTATCTATATATACACCCTCACATTGGCCCCTTGTCCACAAAATGCCGCTGCCAGTCGCCGAGCTAGTCCTATTCACCTCTTCCCAGGCGCACCAGAAAGACCAGGGCATCCTTGGAAGGTCCATCGACATCCTCAACAAAACCGAGGGAAAAATCGCGTATGCTACTATCGCTCTCGCACGACATACAATTCACTAAGTGCACGGATTTTACAGCACCTACCATGGGCCCGAAGTAGAGGACCCGACCAACGGCTACCTCTTCGTCCGTACGTCCCCTCCTGTCCTCTATGTTCACGCAATCTAAATTCATCCGTCCCCACCCAGTCTGGCAAACCCTCGGGCACCACAAAGCCCTCATGTCCGGGCCCACCTACCCGGCGCTCGTCGAGACGCTCAAGCCTGCAGTCGGTGGGCCCTTTGAGATGCTGCACATCAACTTCACCAAGGACCCCACCCCTGCCCTCGAAGCACCCGTCACCGAGGTCGCCTTGGTCACCCTCAAGCCGGGGAAGACCAAGGAGGAAGTGGGTCCGCTGCTCCACAAGCTGACTGG